TAATATAGTGCATCAAGTTCATTATATTTAATATAGCCAAGTAGTGGACAGTGGAACTCTTCAATGGCTATAAGCAAGACATTAAAAGATGACATCAATATGAACATTATTAATAGGTAATGGTAATTTAATATATGAATAATAAATATATTTATTTGGAGATAATTTATTCAAATCTAAACTAACAAGTTAAGGGATACATAAAAAAAATTGTGTATCTAACTTCGGTCATAACTTATCTATATATAAGTGCTATACGAAAAGTAAATAAATATATAATTTATACCTATTTTAAGTAAAATACCTATTTTCTTGTATATATATTGTGTAAATAAACATGTTATCTTATGTATCAATGATTTGTAATTGATATTGGTAATACTAATGAGGCAAGTGGACGCCCTTCACTACACCCACAGAGATTCCAATAAAAAACATTGAACGTTGGAATAACTGAATAAATGAAAATGTTATTATGATTATAGAAAATTTTAATGACAAAAATATTTAATTTAAATATTTATTTGTTTACATCATGAAAATGAGCGGTTTAAAGTATCTTGGATATTATTTGAAAAACTTTTGTAAGGCAATGTTTGGAATGATTTAAAGCCCAAATAAAAAATGTTTTAGATATCTGTAGTAACAAAAATCTAATATATTTTAACGAGCAATTCTTGTATATTTATTTATTTATTTATTTATTTACTTGGTCGCTAATTTCGCACTCCGGGCATAAGCATCGTGGTGAAGTAGCCGTTGTATTTATTCAAGTTTTTTTTTATTTATTTCTAAGCAAAATTCAAAAGAAAATTGTACTCTTGGCCAAAAACTCCCAGCGAAGCTCGGTCGCCCAGGTACTTTGGTTTAAAAAAAACTTAAAAAAAACTGACTTCCAGGCACTAAAATGTAAAAATAACTAAACGGGGGTTTTCATTTAGTATACGAGTAGATACCTAATCTGATATTTACGAAGTCGATTTTTCGAAGTCGAATTTTTTGGAAGTCGGTTAAAAAGCAACCTTTATAGACCAAACCAGGGTGTATCAGTAGTTATTTACAAAATACATAATAGCTAGTTATTACCCCTAGTTAAAGTTACACATGGTAGCGCAACTCGTTTTCAAAGTCGATAAGAAGTATATCTTGTTTAAACAATTTGAAAGCAAGTGACACACGTGCCGTATCGGTCTAGCATCGCTGTCGATCAACTAATGACTGTTGATTTGTAACACCTGTATAATATTATGAAATGTGAACGTAACTAAAAACATTTAATTCTTGGAACTAAGCCACTTGATATTGCCTAATTGAAATGTTTGTCAGTTGGTTCATATCTTAGGATTTTATACTACTACTATCTGTAATAACTAGCGACTCGTCCCTAGCTTGATTCCCCTTACAAACTTTCGTCCCCATTTTCACCCCCTTAAGGAATGATTTCTGGGATAAAAAGTATCCTATGTCCTTTCCAGGGTCAGCAACTATCTTCTTATCAAATTTCATCTAAATCGGCCCTGTAAATCCAGAGATTACCCCCTACGACGTCACAAACTTTACCTCTTTATAATATTGGTATAGATAATACTTATTTCTCGCAGTAAAAAGTACTCTATATGTTAAATCGTAAACCGAGCTATCATACCGCATTTCATGAAAATCTCTCGAGTGGTTTTCTCATGATGCTTTTCCAGACAGACAGACACACAAAAATTCTAAAAACTATAAACTTGGCCTCTGTATCCATAATAATGACCATTTCAATAAGATTTTCCAATAAATATGTAACGTACAGATTCGACTCAAAAGTTTTATTATATGTATAGATAATAGGTACTTTTCTATTGTATGATAATATTAAGAAAATGCTATAATATATTTGTTGAAATAAAATAAATAAAATATCGCCGAGTAAATGTTAGCCACAATTTTCGTCAAACAGCTATAGACGAAGATAAAATTAATAAAGATAACAATTACCGAACTTATTTTAACGATTTTTTTTAGAAAATGAACAAAGTCGTAGACAAAAGCTAATGCGAAACATAATTGCAAATGAAAATACTGGCGTGCCTTATCTCGTAAACATCAGTGTACATCAACATACGATACATTGTCGATTAGTTAGCTGGATAGAATGTTGTGTAACGCGAGACGAAGAAAGAGATGTAAATAATATAATATATTTACTAACATTAACACACAACACCATCTAGTTCCGTGGTAAGCTACGGGGTTGTGTTATGGATACCAGTTAGTTGATACACTACACATATATAACTTAAATACATACATATTATAAATATAAACGAAATGAAATAACCACATCGAAATCGGTCCATCCGTTTGAGAGCTATGATGCCACAGACAGACACACACACACACACACACACAGACATCGACGTCAAACTTAAAAAACGGTTCAAACTTGACGCATTTACCACATTACACACACACACAATCTTATTCTTCTCCCTGCTCATTTTCCAAATCACTTGGGGTCGGCGCAGTACTTCTTCAGTGTACTGCTGATAGGATTTGGCAAAAGTTTTACGACCGGCCGCCTGCCTGACGTCTACCCTCCTTGGGAATGCTATTGTCTTTCTTTGTCTGAATGGTGTTAAATATTATGTACTTTCGATTTTGTTGTGTTTTAAAACATTTTTTATACTATTAATTCAATTATTAATGTTATTTTTGGATATATTTTAAAATAAATTTCGATTACACAATAAATTTTGTATTGACACACACACACACAATATATACCAGAATCGAAGACAATCAAAAACGACCACTTATCTTTTGATTAGGTACTAGACCTATACAAAACAAAATTTGACAGAGAAACTTTTATAGTTGTGTTAAATATTTATTACTAGAAGTCCAAATAATCGAAATTTAACTTAATTATTTGGGCGATAGTCAATGAAACGAATTCCGTTATCGCAAAATTTGTCGCGAACGGGAATCGAACGGATAACAAAAGCTCTATCTGACACCTCCGCCCTTATATTTATTGCAAATTATGGCCGCTATCCACCCCATCTCCAGCTCTCGATAATCGACTTCATATGGACGTGAGAATAATGTGGCGAAGACTATTTTAATATTATAATTATAATCTACATAAAAATAGTAGAAAATTTATCAATCTTCAAAAATACCTTGGCTTTATGTTATACAGTACACTATGTATTTAATAAAATAATAAAATACTAAAATCGCAAAAAAAATAATACTAAAAAGATAAAAAAAATGGATGGTGGGGGTAGGAGGGTGAAAAATGCTTTACGACCTATTCTCATACCTAGCAAATATACAAAAAAAACATAAAAATTGAGGAGTGCGACCATAAACAGTGTGAAATGAGATATTATATATAATATTAACTCTGTAATACTCAAATAAAAGCCTTGAACTTCATTTTTGTGTATATATTGTATGTTTCCTTAATATTTGTGGTGCATATCTGCATACTATTTACCTGACAGGAGATAATTTTATGGCTCGGAAAGTGAAATAAGATACTTTTTATTCTCGTACAAAATTAGTATATTACAAATAATTGCCTAATAACACATCATTAGGTACTCAAATTTTTAGCTGTATATAAGACATATTACGAAAAAATATGTAGAACATAATTATATTACATTATCTGTCACAAAATCAAACGTGCTACCATTTATAGATAACCCCTGCCAAATGACTAAATAAACAGATGGATGACCACTTCTAAATAATACTTGAGTATTATTTGGCAGTGGCCATCTATCTTTGGTCATTTGAATGACTACTGAATTTAAATATGATTTTCAAGCGCATCCATACTAGTCTCTCGGACAAGCCTGCTTCTGACACAGGCGGTATAACATTGATACGGACTGATTTATAAGCCATTACACTTATTCCCGGCCTTAACTGATCAAGCAGATATTGAAATTTTAAATCTCGTGAAACCTAAACCTTATAATGCGATCGTCTGTGAGGTGAACTGAGAGATGAGATGAAGAAGTGAAAAAATAGAAATTACTAAAATAACTATGAAACTTAGTTATTTATTATGGTTCTCAACATATGTCCTTACAGTTGAAAGTATTAAATATAAATAAAATTTTTAGTTTATAAGTATTAAAAGAATCTAAGGGATTTCCCGATTGATATCAGGAAGGCGGCAGTTCATAAAACTTTTACCAAAACCGATCTGCAGTATGGAAGACGTACGTAGACGTACGATATTTTGTATTGTCAAAGATGTAGTTGAAAATAAAATTGTAAATTTTACACCAGAAATTTTACACTTCTAAAGACGATTCCAACAAGAGTTTGTAAATAGTTTTTTTTAATATTATGTATGAATACTACACAATTGTGCTACGAGCAGCAGTGTTGCTATCTTATAATCTGATGCAACATTCTAAAAGAAGGCTATAAGAAATATCTGTATTGTATTCAGCCCTTTTTAACGTCCCACTGCTGGGCACAGGCCTCCCTTCAGTGCAAGGGGGATCTGGCCATAGTCCACCACGCTGGCCAAGTGCGGATTGGCGGACTTCACATGTCTTTCGAAAACTTGCTAGGTTCTCTCAGACATGCAGGTTTCCTCACGATGTTTTCCTTCACAGTAAGGCAAGTGGTAATCGTGTTAGAAATGATTCGCACGTGAAAATATCAGAGGTGCGACCAGGGATTTGAACCCGCTTCACTCGGTTTCCCAAGCGAGCGTGTTACCACTGGGCTACCACTGTCTTATAAGAAATATTTACTAAAATGTATTAGATGAAAAATCAATTCAAGCATATGTACCTATATAGATAGCAATACAGTTGCTTATGAACAAAGTTATAACCAAACAATAAACACGAAATACCAATGTGTAATAAAAGTTTATCTCATTTATATCCGTTAACATTTATGATGATGATGATGTTCTCCTGACCGATTCCGGCCACGGCGGCCAATCTCATTGAGACTAGCCAACTGCGCAGGAGATATTATAGTGCACAAGTGTACGCGCAGACACAACGTGCACTCTCTATTCCTGTCACTCTCATACTCCGGTGGGACGACACGAGACACGACCGGTGAGAGTTAAGGCGCAGGACCGACGGCTTTACGTGCTCTCCGAGGCACGGGTTGAAACACCGCCAACTTCCCAACTCCGGGCTGCTACTGAAGCTTTCTACACAGAAAGACTCAATAACTAAACTTGGCCCGACCCGGGACTCGAACCCAGGACCTCCAGGTGTGCAGCCGTACATGCTAGCCACTACACCACCGAGGCAGTTAAACATTATTAATTATTTATACATAACATTTATAATGTATAAATAATTTTAAATATAACATCTAATATATGAATTTATCATTAACTGCCTCATCGTCTAGTAACTCCTATATTATATAGAGTTCCTGGGTTCGAATCCTGGGCCTTGTAAATGTTGAGTTTTGTATAAGTTTTTCTGTTAAGAGTCTTAATAGGTAGATACTTTTAGTAATATTATAAAATCTGTCATAAACAGTCAGAAGGATATTATTTTATGATTTTATATCTCACGCTCATGTTAGTAGTTAGTAGGAATATTTTCACATTACTAACTGATTTTTTTATAAAATGATACTTACCATTTAATGCTTTTATCTATAAATATAATAAAATTGTAACTAAGCCGAACCTGTACATTAAATATTTTTTGGAAAATTTTATTGAAATAGGCATTATTATCGATACAGAGGCCGAATCTATAGTTTTTAGAATTTTTGTTTGTCTGTTACCGCATCACGGAAAAACCACTGGAGGGATTTTGATGAAATTTGGTATGATGGTAGCTGGTTATATACAGGTCAACATACTTTTTATCGCGGGAAAATATCTCATTTCTGAGAAAAAATACAAAAACTGCAATGTAAGAGTATACTGATATGTAAAACCTAAGAAATTGGTTTTTTGGTCATCTGAACGCGTGCGGAGCCGCGGGCAATGCTAGTAAAAGCTATAAACTTCTTTCTCCAAGTGCGAATTTAACATAAAGCGACCTCCACCAAAGTAAAAACGAAATATATTATTAGATTCTTACCTATGTATTTATTAATATTTAGTACTAATACAGGAACATTCTCAAATGAGGCAGTGTCGGCGCGCCGTCGTCGCGGTGTCGTGCCGATAGCGAGGCGATCACGTTACGTTATCGTCTGTGTCACATTGTTCGATATCGAGACGTGCACTTTCGTTTTGATATGCAGGGCTGCTACTTTTTAAACCATCGTCAAAGTGATTACTTACTTACATGACTTTTAGTGATATTTTAAATGGTTTTTGGTTTAATCAAAGTTAAATAAAGAGAGTGACTATTATTAATCCAGTTACTGTACGACTAATATATAATTAATTGTCCAGCTGTTTTATTTTGTTTTTTTTTTTATTTAAAATTTAAGGCATTTGGATAAAATATTATTTATTTGTAAGTTTTTATTTTCGATTATGTGAGTGACAGACCTGACTCAGATAACGTAGGTTTTTTTTTTTAATTTATATCTGGATTAAATGTTATTTATTGGTAAGTTTTGATTTTCGATGATGTGACAGGTCGACTTAGATATTGTACATAGGTTGAGAAGGCTAAGAAGGCCTGAGCGTAGCTTAATGAAATGAAAAAAATGGAATAAACTTAATTCAATTAGACTCGTTACAATTGCTTTTCAAGTGATTAATACAGTAAGTGTATAAATAATATATAATTATTTGTCCAGCTATTTATTTTGTTCTTTTTCAAATTTAAATTTAGAGCATATCGATAAAAAATTATTTACTTGTAAGTTTTAATTTTCGAGTATGTGAGACTAGCCCGACTTAGATAACGTAGGTTGAGAACGCTAAGAAGGCAGCGAAGCGCCCTTCTTCTTCTTAGGTTTTTTTTTTATTTCAAACCCAGAACCCCCATTTACTATTGCTTTATGTTGTTTAAGATTTGGTGACAGTTTCGATCTGAAAACTATAGGTGTCGGACAGTATTAGAAGAATTGGTAAAATGATCAAGTGTCAAATGTATTTTTTTGCACTGCCGCACTAATAAACTATACGCTCCAATTTTTCAAAGAATGAAAACAACATATATATTTTGTGTCTCTTTCGAAAGCTGTAAATTAAAGGTGGAGGTCCGAAATTTGTAAATACCCATACTTTTCTCTTATTCTTATTATTAAGTAAAAATATAAAAAAAATATTATTTTTTACAACAATAGCCGCACTAATAAAAATATTATGTCGTACAGTAACTGTAGTAATAGGTTCAGCCATAAGCAAAAGAGAGAAATATCGCTCCAAATTAAAAAGCTTTTCCAATAAAAAAACCAATCTAAAGAGTGTTCGAAGTAAATTAACAAATATTTATATGTCTCTATGCCCTTAGCATTATATGGTGGCAGTAAGATGTGATAATATATTTTCATACATTTTCCTACTATGTAATGATTTACAATAATCTATGTCTATATCTATACAGATAAATAAAATTGTAGTGTCTGTTTGTAATGTCAAAATAACAGCGTTTTACTAAATGCATATGAAATTATATACGGTACTTATAAGAAAAACACATTTTTTTAATTTTTGTTTGTCTGTCTGTTTGTTCCGGATAATCTCTGAAACGGCTGGACTGATTTTGACGGGACTTTCACTGGAAAATAGCTGATGTTACAGGGAATAACATACGCTACTTTTTATGTAGAAAAAGAATTAGGGTTCCGCTCAATAAAATCAAAACTACCTAGTGATTTACAATAATAATAAGTATGAATACTATTTAGAATAGATATTCTACTCATTGCTAAATCTAATACACGTTGTGTAAACCCTGTTAAAATCGACTCCGCTAGCTAAGAAATAAGCAAAGGCCTAACATTTAGTGGTGTTTAGTTTTTTTACCAATTCCAAAAGAGAAGGAGATATTTAGTTCGGGGCTTATATTTTTATATAATTATATGATATAAAATATATGTAGTATCTCAAAGAGGGTAAATAAATTTTGAATTCAAATTAAAAAAAATCATTAAATTTTTAATTGATTATCATGACTCTATCAGTTTGGACTCCAGAGTTTACCCTTTTAATTAAAATTTTTTTCGTAGTAGTGCTATTATCCCTTTAACTGCATTTTATCTATTTTATCTTTATTAAAATATAATATCTAAATCTTTAGATATTTAAAATCTACAAACAATTTATGTTTACAACAAAATCCTTTTAGTTAACTGACAGTTCCAGTTATCCAGTAACCAGCCCCCAACCCTACGCAGTCGATACTTACACCCGATAGTGCATTGTCCTGATAAAGTTGTTATTTGTTGATAAAGAGAAAGTACTTATCGCTATTTGTAAATACGCTCACGTTAATTAGCGACGCGGGGTGACTCGACCGACACTTTTATCGAAATGTCATCGTTTCGATATATATTCGATATTCTTTTATTAATTTAAAGCGGTTTTAAAAATAATTTCATTTAACTGCTTGTTAAATAGGCTTTTTTCTAGTGTTTGATGATAAAATGTACGTTTCTTTCCTACCACGTGATATGTGAAAGTAATATGGACTGTAAAATATTCTACAATAAAGTCAAATAAGAACAAGTTTAACTTTCTACGTAGTAATGTTATTTCGTTGAAAAATTCTAACATAAAATGTTATTATTTTAGGTTTTTTTTGTAATCTTACTAATATTATAAATGTGAAAGTCTCGATGGATGTTTGGATGTTTGTTACTCAATCACGCCAAAATGCCTGAACGGATTTTAATGAAATTTGGCACACCGAGTCTGTAATAGCATATCCCGGACATCCCGGAAAAATGTACGGTTCTCGTGGGATAGTTCTTTTTGTTTTTCCAGAATCGAATCCGGGCGAAGCGAGAGTGAGCCGCTGCTAGTTGTGTTAAAAAATAAAAAATCTGTTTTACACACTCTAACTCACAAATTTAAACTCTTTAACATAAACTATATATTATATAATGATATTGAAATTATATTACATTTAATGTTCATATTTTTAATATGTATATGAACCTTAAACGTAATATTTGGTTCATATATTAATACATAAAAAATAAATATTAACTATTTTGGTTGAAAAAAAAATATCAAAAAAAATTTCATATATTATAAATATAACTAAATTTTGAATGAGTAAATTTGAAAATCATCATAACAAAATTATAATTCAGGGTAAGCTAAGCTTTATTATATAAGAAATCACATGAAAATATTACAAAAATTTTAATCATTTAGTTATCAACTAAAATTTTCCCAGAATACTATATAATCTTTACTCCTTTAGTTTTAACTGTCTATAACCTGATTGCACAATATAACAGATGATGGCAGATAAAGTTGCGTGTGGTCTCGCATCTTCCGTAATAAAACCAATATGATAAGAATGTAAATGAATTTTTGTATCTGAAATTAATACTATGTATCCACCAAACTAACGCGACCCTTGCTTTTAATGGGAGCGAGTTACAAATTGAAATAATTAGTAACTTAGAATTTAAATAAAACTAAGATATATATGAAAATTAGGTTTGTTTATTTGATGTTATACCATTATATGTATGTTTTGATTTTAATTATAGAATATTTTGTAATTATATAACTAGTTTTATTTTTCTTTCCGAACCGCTACGACCTGGCCACCTTCAGGAAGAGAGCGTATTCATTTCTTAAAGGCCGGCAACGCATCTGCAAGCCCTACGGTGTTGCAGATGTCCATGGGCGGCGGTGATCACTTCTCCCGGTGAGACTCCTGCCCGTTTGCCCCCTTAGTCCCATAACAAAAAAAGCTAGCGACTCTCCCTCGATTCGCTCGGGTTCGTTTCTAGGTTGATTCCCCATGCAAAATTTCATCCCCATTTTCACCCCCTAAGGGATGATTTCAAGAATAAAATCTATCTTATATTATTTCTAGAGTCTCAAACTATCTTCATACCAAATTTCATCTAAATCGGTCCAGTAGATAGTTTCGGAGCTCACTCACTCACTTCTCACTCAACTCACATGCTACTTGCCATGCAAGCAGAATTGCAAATGACAGCTAGTAATTTATTATAATCTATCCTACAGATAAATAAAATTGAACTGTCTGTTTGTAATGTCAAAATAACAGCGTTTTACTAAATGCATATGAAATTATATACGATACTTATAAGAAAAACACATATTTTTTTATTTTTGTCTGTCTGTCTGTTTGTTCTGGCTAATCTCTGAAATGGCTGGACCGATTTTGACGGGACTTTCACTAGCAGA